AAAAAAAACTATAGCTCCTATCAAACTGGACAAAACACCGTTTAAAAGATGGCAGTTTCATCTTCAAAACTAAAGTAAAAACGTCCCGATCGCTTGAAAATTGTGGCGACACGCCCTGGTGGAAGATGGCGTGTTTCAGTTGTTGCGCCATGCTGGCCGTACACTTCCCCACGGACTGGAGCGTCTAAAACAGTCGTACGAAACAGTGTTTTGTTCAGGAGGAATCTGGCTATGGTCGGTACTAGAATCTTTGCGATAAAATTATTTTTAGTATTTTTTTGACCAAGTCAAACTTTTAGTTCTGAATTTGAGGAAAAATTTTTCAATGTTTTAATTTTTTTTAATATGAAGGGCACCTCCGATCCCAGATCTTCTAGTACCCACCATAGCCAGGTTCCCCCCGAACAAAACACCGTTTCGTACGACTGTTTTAGACGCACCAGTCCGTCGGAAAGTGTACGGCCAGCACGAAACTACATGCTCCCTTGTAGCAGGCCGTGTCGCCACACCTTTGAAGATATTGAGACGCTTGTTTTTGCATTTTTTGCATGAAAGTGCCATCTATTAAACCGTGTTCTCCAATTTTTGATACGAGCTACAGTATTTTAAATACAAAATTCGCAAAATAAGCATTGTTTTTGCGCCGCTACACTAGGATCCCCCCTTAAATTACGTACCGGGTGTACTTTTGAATACGCTCCAGTGTTGCGGGGCTGCTCGAGCAGAGCTAGCAGAGACCAAGGCACCATACAGGCGAGAGGGCGTTGGCAAAGTTGCAACACTGGAGCGAATTCAAAGATACACCCGGTACAGAACGGTGTACTAACAGCATTCTAATTTTCATTGAAAGAAAAACATGTTTCTGCACGGTATTCCAAACCACGAAAATCGCAGAGGGAAGACAGTGCACTGGTGTATACAATAAAAGTTTAGTGCTTGGGATGACGTGTTTTCCTATATAACTGTATAACAAGATTCCTAATTTACTGACTGTTGTTTTGGGATCCATTTGCCGAAATCCCAAATAAAGACTAGCATAGCAGTTTCACTTTGTGCGGTGTTGCGAGATATGGTATGCAAATCGCCCACACATACGCAGCTGTTTACTTGGTTGCCTCTAACGACTGCCTACAATGCCAGCTCTCGGCCGCCTCGGCACAGGTGTACAAATGTGGCCTAGTGGGCAGGCGCGTAAGTGCAACCCACTACACAGTTGTATTCGTGGGCATTTTTGCGTACTTTTTCTGGCAAACACACATGCTTAGCACACTCTGACATACATTCATTCATTCAAACAAACTCACAATCAACTCCACCAGAAAATAACAGCACTCATCCCCCATTCCCATGACGGGAACAACAATGAGCATGAGGTCCTTTTGAACGCCGTCGTCAAATACTTTGATGGCACCGCTGCCGACCACAACGCCATGCGGTGTCCCCAGTGTTCATCTAGCTACGGTACCAACGAGTTGACTACGGCAAAGTGTGTCGACGCATGTGACCCCTGCAGGTCAGTGGCTGTTGGTGATGACGCACAGGAACACGTACCAGCCCAGGAGCCCCACAATCACAGACAGTGCTATCCGGACGGGGCCCGAGGCGAGCCCTGTCGTCGGGGGCGGCTGCTCCGGGGGCGGGGCGGCCGCTGGGCCCTGGGGGGCGGGCGGGGGCGGTACGGCCTCCACAGTGCCCGCCGTGCTCCGGATGGGCGTCGGCTCCAGGTTCGGCATGTCGTCGTCGTCGCCGTCCTCGCCGTACGGCCGGACAGGGTCGCCGGCGAGCAGGCCGCGGACGCGCGCCCAGGTGCCGTTGTGAGGGTGCGCGGGGATGCGCAGCAGGTGGCAGAGCACCTGGTACTCGTCCACCAGGTCGATGGGGCCCGTCGTCACGCCGCGCTTGAAGTCTGCACACAAGGGTAGAATTTTGCAAAATTATGGAAATGAATGCAAAAATTACAAAGCATAAACATGGAGTTGCTGAACACTTTTCATAATACCAGGTGGCAATATATGGCTTATTCGCCCCACCTGGCCCAGCCCCACCCAGTTCTGAAGGTTAGACTGAACCGCGTGAGGAGTCGAGGGTACAGTTGAATATGGACGATGCGAATCAGCCACCTAGCATATCTATAAGTTACTTTAAATGAGAACGATTTTCTCGTAATTTTCCGAACAGTAGCATTTACCTGGCCCGACGGCGTAGAAAACGGTTCTCATCTGTTCGACGTCCGGCTGGTACCCGTGGATGCCGTGCGGTCTGGGGGCCGTCTCCTCCTTGACATGCAAGCCGTGGATGAGGTACCCTGCAAAAGGTCCAAGATGAGCATGCGAGCAGATGTGTGACATTCCATTCAGTGCGACTTAACCGTGTCGGTACGGTGAAATTATTATTGCGACCCCCTTTAAAATACTGATGTATCATGAACGCTTAAGCATTTAATTCGTCATATATAGACAGTACACTCCGGTACGGCGGCTGCGGTTAACTGAATGTCAATAGAGTCATTCAACTCAGACTGTTAGGATAGTACATAAAACACAACGCTAGGGGTTAGAGATTAATTTGTTTGGCAAAGCCAACTGTGAGAGTAACAACTACTCCCTTCGGACGTTTACCTTTGCTATCGTCGGCATCGAAGTAGAATCCTGTAGACCCGCAGGGCGTGCAACAGACATGTGGTCAAAAGGTTTGATGAAAATATGAGTCAGCGTGAGAAGAGGTGAGGCTACAGGGGGACGGGATGGGGGCCACGGGGACACGCTAAACGGGACGTACCTCAACGCCGAGCCAGAAACTAGATGCCACACTTGGAGAAAGGTTGAGAAAAAAAATACTGAGATTGGCATATGGCGTGCAACAATAATAGCAAAGGGGACTACACTGTTGGAAACCTTTTTTTTAAAAAAATTAAATTTGGTCAAGACTATCGGAACACGTAGAAATAAAATTGTCTGCTTTAAACTTCTGACTGTAAACAATACTGTTGACGAAAACATAAATCCAACTGTGTAGAGAGTGTGTGGCAAGCAGAATCCAAGTGCTGAAAAAATTAATTAGGTTTCTTCCAAATAAGCCTGAGGGTATGGCTACGGCGGGGACAAGGGAAATACGTGTGATTTCGTGCACAATTTTCCCTCATGCAAATCCAGAGACAACATTTTTTGTTTGACGCTAAGCAGGAAAAACTTAACGGGCCAAAATTTGGCACAACATTACTGTTTAATTTTTTTTAAAGTATATTAAAATTACTGGAGAAGGAAAGCGCCAGACACAACAAAAGCATCGTCACTGGAAACCAAAAGCTACAGGATGAAGATGATGAACTCTATCCTTTTCCTTCACGGCATTAGGTACGCACGACATGGAAATAAGTACAATGAGGGTTATTGAGACACCGTTACTGGCCGGGGAATGCAGACTATGTCTACCCTGCACCCTGGGGCCGGACTCACCCTTGCTGGCCGAGACGATGAGGTCGGGCAGCGCGGGGTTCCGGTTGTAGTGCAGCTCCATCGGGACTTCCCCCCGCCGCCAGATGGTCAGGCCGGGGACGGTCGCCAGCTTGTGGTGGATCTGTCCCGACATGAGCAACATGAGAGACGGCCCGGCGCGGTACGTTCAAGTCGAGCGTTTAGCGGGCCCCGCATTGCAAACCGGCGGCGACATGTTCGCGGTTCAGTTCGTAACGCCCGCGGGCCGCCGCCGCGGGGTGGTGGCGCCACCAGCCCGGGCCATGGCCAGGGCCCCGCGAGCACGGGGTACGGCCGACTGCACTTACATACTCCACGCGGCCCGGCTTGGCGTAGATCGAGACGAAGGCGCCCTGCCCGAGGGCCTGCTCCACGTCGGTGTCCGCGTCCAGGAGCTCGCGCAGCTTGATGGGCTCCCCGGGGTCCACCGTGACCATGCCGTGGTCCCCGATCAGGATCACGTTGGTCTGCGCGGCAGGAGCGGAAGAGCGTCATCAAACACACGACTATATCCAATCATCATCCAGAAAACGGTGTCTTTGATTCGAGGTAATTTGAGAATGAAGAAAATATTTCTTGTATTTCTTCAATTCAAAGAAATTTTCCTTTACTTCAGGAAAAATGTCCTTGTTTTACTCAAACTGAGGGAAAAGTTTCCTTGTCCTCAATTTTGGTCGAAATTTCCTTGAATCATAAAGAAACCATTTTCTGGGGTGCCCCAAAATAGATTGTGGGTGGGCTACCTTGTCCTTGAGTTGTCGCGACTCCAGCGACCGGAACAGGCCCGTCAGCAGCTTGCTCACGTCGCCGATGGTGTACTTCATCTCGAGCGAGTCCGGGCCGTAGCTGTGGCCCACGTCGTCCACCAGCTCGGAGTACGTCATGACCAGGTCGAAGCCGCGCTGCAGGTACTCCAGGCTGCGCTCGATGGAGTCCCGGAACACGCCCAGCGCATCCTTGTTGTACGAATAGCCCTGCGCACATGAAAATGATGGCTTGCTTCAAGCACAATTCTGAATTCTCACTACACTGGATACGCAAGTAATGTCACAAACTTGTAGGGCAGGTGTGTGAATGCTTATTCGTACACTTATTGGCGAAAGGGTGTGAATTTCCCTTTGAAAGTTTTCATTTGGATATTAACGCAGCTGTGCCTCTGTGTACGAATGGCATTCACACACCTTCGAGTGTGCAACATTCGCACACTTGGGTTTCTGTGTTGTATTTCGAGACCAATTAAGTTGGTCGTAGAAGCTGGCCCACCTCGGCCTGCTCCGGGCGCAGTCCATGCACGGGGACGTCGCTGCGGGACCAGAGGATGGTGGCGACGCGCAGGCCCTGGTGCGCGGCCGTGGTCCACACGGGCTCGGGGCTCTGCCACCAGAAGGCCTTCCTCGTGGTGGCCGTGTCGTTGAGCATGAAGGCCTGCTGCCGCTGCCGGTTGTAGAAGAAGTTGGCGAGGATGCCGTGCGTCTCCGGGTACACGCCCGTGCTGATGGTCGTCCAGGCCGGGAACGACAGCGACGGGAAGATGGTGTTGACGTACTCCGTCGACACGCCGTTCTTGAGGAACTCTTTAAAGCCGTGCGTGTCCGCGCCGAGGTGCTTGATGTAGTCCCATCGAAACCTAAGACGAAAGAAATATCTTTTAAAAAAGAATTTCAGCAATAAATTTAAAGAATATGACGTTAGCGTAACTTTTGAGCCAGAAATTCACTGAGAAAATTGTTTATTTGGTTCAAGGAAATTTGACTTTAACTTACCAAAGGGAATTTACGACGGACATAGCTTTGATTTACAGTCAATTTTGATAAATCACATTACTTTTGTCAAAAAAAATTTCCTTTGATATAGTCGAATTAATTTTTCAATTGATCACGTCGCTTTTTCTCTTACCCGTCGAGGAGAATGACCAGCGTCCGCCGCTTGTCCGTCAGGGGCTCCGGGCCGGGCTCGTAGTCGTCCGCGGGCGCGGCGCTGGCCAGGGCGAGGACGGCCAGCAGGCCCAGGAGGCCGGTGCGCAGTCGGGGTCTCATGGCTGGCCTGCGGAGCAAAGACAAAGCAAAACAGTTACACTAACGCAAAATTCACCGAGAACTAAAAATATAACTCACTACTGCAACTGCACTGTCTAACGCCCA